CGCCGCCGGGAGGGGCCGGGCTCCGTCGCTATGGCGACCTCGGCGCGGTTTCTACGACAGGCTGGAGCTCAAGTTTCTCGACCCTTTGTCCCTGCGCCGGCGGGCGGGCGAGCGAGTGGCCGGCCTGTGGCCCTGGGTCCGGCGCCCACGCGCGGGCTTGTGAGCCGCTCGGAGGCTGCGACGACTTGGCGCCTCTGGCTGTCGCCAGGCCGCGCGCAAGGCGCACCCGGACGGCCGCCGCGCACCTGCAGCCTGCAGCTTCCAGCGCGCCAGAGTGAAGACTGCAAGGCTCGACCCCGTGGACTTCGGAAGCAGAAGTCCAAAACCTGAGCAAGGGCAGAAGTTGCCCGGCGCCCCATGGCTGCAGGCCAGGCGCGGAGCGAGGCCAAGGGGCCGGCTGCGTGCGGGGGTCACTGTGCCCGGGGACGCGCCGCCGGGTGGCGCCTGCCCAGGCTGCGCCCAGACTCCGTGACGCACCTCAGCAGGTGGCTCGGCTTTGCTGGGGTCTCCAGACTACCACATTTTCACCTCCTCTCATGCTTTCGACAAAGGCAATTTTTGAATTGTACAATTTTAAAAACACTTTTCAAATCTGTTGTATAAATAGGAAATAGGGGAACATCAAGATCTGCTTTTACCTGGAATGAATTATATTTGATATTTTGGCGTGTGTTCTCCGGTGTTTTTATTGTACTATCCATTTCATCTTTGGCATAATTGGGGGAATGCTTAGTAAAAACACATGCTAGCTTTTTCACTTAGAATTTTCTCCCGCTTCGTTACATATTTTATAACATGATTCTTTTTCATAACGTGATTCTTTTTTATACAAATATACAAATGGAAATATTTTCAACATAGAAGATAAAACCTAGCTGGTATGGTGGCGCACACCTGTAATCCCAGCACTCCAGAGGCTGAGGCAGGAGGATCACTGTGAGTTCGAGACCAGTCTGGGCTACAAAGTGAGCTCAAGGCCAATCTGAACTGCATAGTGAGACCCTGTGTCAAAAAGACCAAAGAAATGATAGAACTTAGAACCTTTACACTGAACTACATCCCCAGCCTTTAAAATTGTTTATAAACAGAAACTTGCTAAATTCTCCAGCCTGGGCTCAAACTTGAAATCCTCCTGTCTCAGCCTCCCAGAGTACTAAGGTTACAGGCATGTGCCACCGTACCCAACAAAATTTATGTTTTTCCATATCCTGTTTATCTCTTACTGCACATGCCCAATTTCAAAACTTAGGAAGTAAAACACTGATGGGTGATACAGGGTCTCCCTACACAGCTCTGACGCATAGTGATCCTCCTATTTTCAGCCTCCCCAGCGCTGGGATTAGAGGTGGGCACCACCACACCCAGTCTCTGTTGTCGAGCCTGGGGGATGATGTATGTGGTGCTGGGGATTGAACCTGGTTGCTGCACTTGCCTAACTAGGCACTTAGTCTGCTGAGCTATCTCACCAACCCAAGGTATACTTTTAAGTATTTTCTAAATTATCTTCTAGGAAAATGTATTAGTTTTTTCCTGAGACATGGCCATTTTTCTATAACCCTGACAACACAGGCCATTTTTTCCAGCTTGGTTAACATGGCTCTTTCTTTCTTCCTTCCTTTCTTTCTTTCTTTCTTTCTTTCTTTCTTTCTTTCTTTCTTTCTTTCTTTCTTTCTTCCCTTCTGTCTTTCTTCTTTTTTTCTTTCTTTTTTAAAATTTTTTAAAAATGTATTTTGTACAGTGTCTACAGGGTCTCACTACACAGATCAGACTCGAAGTGATCCCTCTTGTTTTCAGCCTCCCAAAAGCTGGGATTACAGGTGCAAGCCACCACGCCCAGTCTTATTTGCTGTAGCATTGCACCCTGGGGGCAGGGCTGGCACAGCACACCAGGGATCGAACCCCAGACCCTGCATCTGCCTAAGCAGGTGCTTTAATCCGCTGAGCTATCTGGCTGGCCCAACATGGCTGTTTCTTATTATTTGGATTTTTCTTGGAGTAGTTGGCTGAATTCGCTTTTGACATGGTTACTGCCAGCTTGTGAATTTGCTTTTGTCCCTCTTCCCACCCTGCAGTTGCTCCTTTTAAAAGTTGAGCAAATTGATTGTTTTCCCCCGGAACCAGGGATTGAACTCAGGCCCTTGCGCTTAGCCAGGCAAGCACTTATTCTACTGAGCTATCTCCCTGGCCCCCTGAACACATTGAGAAGCTCATTTTATTTGGGAGCACGCGTAAAATAAAGGTATTAGCTACTCCTTGTGTACACTGTAACATTTTCCCATAGATTGCATTTTTAATTTGTGTGTGTGTGTGTGTGTGTGTGTGAGAAATTTTTATATGCTGAACCCTGACAGTCTTTAAGATGTTGTTTAGATTTATGTGAGGGAGGTCACATCCACTCCAAATTACAGTTTATGTCTGTGGTTTTGTCCTAGGACGTAAGTTTTAATACCTAGTAGTTTAAGTATTACATGCAGGAAAGATTGATGTGTTTGTTTTTGTCCGTTTTACATGACGTCTTGGCTAGAACCACTCATTTATTCTATCAAATGCACTGTAGAGTTTCTTGTCAATATTTTTTAAATCCTGTTGGCATTTGAGAGAATGAAGATTTGTGCCTCTCTGGGTCTTATTTTACTTTTTACAATCAAGTTGTTATTTGAACATTAAATGTGTACGTTTTAGACTTTTCATAAAATCAAATTCACAAACGTGGAAAAGCTGTGCGATATAGTTTGGAGGTTAGAGAAAACATGGCCACAGCATACTGCAGAAGGTATGTCGGGTTTGGGGATTGCAGAAGAGGGTTTTTTCTACCACAGGTACAATAAAAAGATCCTTGAGTTTTTACTTAAATATTTTGTCATGACAGATAACTTTTAGGGAGTCTTTTGTGTCAGGCACGGTCATCAACTCTTGAAACATTTATTTACTTGTTTGTTTGTTTGTTT